CTTAGGCATAATAGTCACCCGCTTGGCGTGGATGGCGCATAAGTTGGTGTCCTCAAAGAGACCCACCAGGTAGGCTTCGCTCGCCTCCTGCAGCGCCATCACAGCAGAACTCTGGAAGCGCAGGTCAGTCTTGAAGTCCTGCGCGATCTCGCGCACCAGACGCTGGAACGGCAGTTTGCGGATCAGAAGCTCCGTCGACTTCTGGTAGCGCCGGATCTCGCGCAGCGCCACGGTGCCGGGTCGGTAGCGGTGGGGCTTCTTCACGCCGCCGGTGGCCGGAGCGCTCTTGCGAGCGGCCTTGGTGGCCAGCTGCTTGCGGGGCGCCTTGCCACCGGTGGACTTGCGAGCGGTCTGCTTGGTACGAGCCATAGCTCCAGATGAGGACAAAAATCGAGAAGAGAACGGGCCCTAAGAGCTGTGTATTTATACCGTAACCAAATCACTCAGGTTGCATTCTGGGCATTTTTTTTAACTCTTCCGTTGGAAGTGGTTCAGCGTTCTACTATTGGATTTTCTTTTACATGCAGTTTCTCATTGGTCAAAGGCGGTTGCTAGACAATCCCCTTAATTTTTTTCCTTAAAAATCCTTTACATCAGCTACATTTACATACTTTATATATTGTCTTGAACGCTATTTGCACAAAATAGAATCTTTATCCCTCTTTATGAAAAAGAATTCAGTAGTTTGAATCAATAGTAGAGCATATGTCTAGCTTTCCGGAGTTTCGGCTGCATCCCCACAAAAACCTTTTAAATATATCTTCATAAGCCTTAAATTCATTACATTTAGAGTGAAGAAATCTACCTCAGTCTTTCCTAAGCTCTTGTTTAAAGGCGGTTTGGTTTCTTTGAAATGGTTAACTCGTCATCTCTGCTTTTTATGACTGGCAAGTTTAATGAGTGCCACTTAACCTTGAAAATTCTCTACAGATTTGCTTATATCAGTAGAATTGAATGTATGGAAGAGAGGCAATTTTTGACACATCACTAAGGCTACTTCCCACACTTCCGTATCCCACGTCAATTCTTTCCTTTGGTTTTGTCGATCAAACCTGATCAATTACGATCACTTCAGAAATATACAAAGAACATTGCATGGAATAGATCTTAGTGAGCAAATTACTGAAAATTTCCATCTATTGTCTTAATGATCAGTTTAACTATTTAATAAACAGTTGGGTTATTTTACTGGCTTTTTCAACCAATCAGTGATTCGATTCACACACCCTTATTTGCATATCTCGGGTCAATGAAATCTTGAGACCACTTGACGATCTGAATGAGTTTTCAGTATTCAAACCTTATATGCTTCATTACCATAAGGTATAGAAGCTTAGCGCGATGTTTAAAACGTGTCGATGTGTTAGCAACAGTAAAGTCCGGGGTAGGAAGGTGGCTCAGTGGTACAACGCTTGCCTTGAGCTGAAGAGCCCAAGACCAGTAAGCACATGAAAGGTTTAGCCTGACTGCAGTAAAAAGTCTTAAGGCGAAGGTGTTCAGCGCTTTTGTGTGAAAGGATAGATGGCCCTGAAAAGGGCCTTTGATGTTAAGTATAACCTGGTAATTTAACCTCCAAAGCCGTAGAGGGTGCGTCCTTGACGCTTAAGCGCGTAGACCACATCCATGGCTGTAACAGTTTTGCGCTTGGCGTGCTCCGTGTAGGTGACAGCGTCCCGGATCACATTCTCCAGGAACACCTTCAGCACCCCGCGGGTCTCCTCATAGATCAGGCCGGAGATACGCTTGACTCCACCACGGCGTGCCAGGCGACGGATGGCGGGCTTGGTGATTCCCTGAATATTGTCACGGAGGACCTTGCGATGGCGCTTAGCACCGCCTTTTCCTAGCCCCTTACCACCTTTGCCACGGCCAGACATTATTGCGTTGGGTAAGAAGAGCTGAGTGGCGATTTCTAAAGGAACCGCATACTTAAAACCACACTGCGGACCTTATTGAAAGCAGGAAATACTGGCGGGAAAGCGTGAGAGGCGGGGTCAATGAACTTACTCTCCCACAACAATGCCCTTGATTCCCTTCCAAGAATGCCTGAGAGGTATTTGTATGTTTCTTCTCATTTCCCGACTGATCAATTTTTTAGAGCATTAAAACATTCTTTTCAATCCTAGTCTTGAAGCTCTTGCAACCATACCATCATCTGTCTTGCATAGAGAATGTTTGAAAACCTGAAATATTGCTATCCATTTTAGAAGCATACTTGAATTTCAATTGCCCTTTCTTTCTGGAAAAAAAAAAAAGGTACTCAAGTATAATGGTCAGTGCCATTCGTATAATGATCTAGGGAGTGAATATATTTTATGTTCACCATTGTACAAGGATTATATCTTTTTCTTGGTAGCATGGGTGTTTGAATTAAATATATTTCAAAGAAACTGGATTGAAGTGAGAATGAAGAATTATTAAGAAGCATTTATAGAAAAGAAGGGAGGCTTTTTAAATGTATGAAGGAAGAAAATATAATCTTTCTCCTGTGCCTGCCTCTGCATGGTCCCCTGGGATGGATGTGTGGGACCCTTCATTACTAAAATTTGAATTCAGAGGTAGCATGTCAGTAGGTAGGTACTGTTTGAAAATCCATGCTAACCTTTTGCTAAATATCTATTTTCCTGGGATAGAGAATGCAAAATATGTTTTTTTCTTGTTACACAGGCCCTATGTATTTTGGTATTTTGTGTCTTCTGTCACTTTCCAAGAAAAAATTTAAATTAATTATTGTCCCAAAATTTAAGCCTTAGATGTATGTACAATATATTTCTCTTCTGTTAAAAACAATATGAAACTGGGTTCCAGTGGTTTATGCCTGTAATCCTAGCTACTGAACAGATTCAGATCTGAGGGTCACTGTTCAAAGCCAGACTAGACAAGAAAGCCCATGAGACTTAACTCCAATTGAGAATCCTTAAAAACAAAACAAAACAAAACAAAAACCCAAAACAGAAAAAAAAAACATCGATTTGGTGTTGTAGTCCAGGTGATAGACTGCAACCTTTAGCACAAAAGCTTAGGCTCAGCCCATAGGACCTGAGGCAGGACTGTAAAAAAGTTGTGGAAGTATAAAAATAATTAATGAAGTGAATGTAAATTTGAAATGCATGTATCTGGAAGACTCAAAATTCAAGAAAGACAAAAAAATTCTTATTTGTAACTTAATTATTGTATTTATCAAACTACTTTATCATTTAGTGTCTATAAAAGTTAAATTGCCTAGTATTTGCTCAATCACTATAGTGAGGAAAATGTGACAGTGGGATAATTTATCTTGCCCATATCATTTAATATTTTTTGCATTGAGGAATCCCAGTACAATAAGAAGTTTTAGACTGGAAAGTAAGAAAAACAGGAATGGCTAATATCTTTTGTAAAAAAGATTACAGGCCTCAGAAAGGTTTGTGGTAAAATGTACTTTCCTCATCTCACTATGTACTGTTCATTACAGTTGATTTATGAAACTCTAGGCTTTCATGTGATAGTAATCTAAATCACTCCCATTTAGTGGAACAAATATTCCTCCAGATATTTATTACTTTTTGATTGTTCAACCAAATTGAAATCATGGAAACAAATAATTATTTGTTAATTTGGCTAAAGGAATTTATCACAAATGTACCAATTACCTGAATTATGTCACTATAAGCCCTATGTATATCACCTTTTAGAATAAGAATAAAAATTATACTGGAGGCTTACTTGTTTTAATTGGCCTTAGTTCCTATTTCCATTTTGTTCCTTCTCTGATTAAACACTGTGGCTGTAAAACCAAAAGCATAGAAAACACAATTTAAAATGCATTTATGCTGGGCATTGGTGGCTACACTTGTAATCCTAGCTACCTAGGAGGCTAAGATTTGAGGAACGGAGCCCAGGAAGAAAAGTCATCTGACTCTTATCTCCAATTAACCACCAGAAAACTAAAAGTGGCACTGTACCCCTGGTGGTAGAGCACTAGCTGTAAGCTGAAGAACTCAGGGAGAGTGCCCAGGCCCAGAGTTTAAGACCCACAATGAACAAAAAAAACACCCTAGTACTCCAAAAATAACCTGTATATCTAAATCTATTTATGTATCTATATATTACAGATCAAAGATAAATATATGTATATATGTTTTGGGTCCGGTCGGTCGTGGGGCCTGCCTGAACTGTGGGCCTGGGCACTGTCCCTCAGCTCTTCAGCTCAAGGCTAGCGCTCTACCACTTGAGCCACGGTGCCACTTCTGTTTTTTTTCTTTTTGCTTATGTGGTGCTGAAGAATCGAACCCAGGGCCTCATGCATGCAAGGCAAGCACTTTACCACTGAGCCACCTTCCCAGCCACCATGTTTATTCTTGATCTCCCAACTTGAACAATGTTTGCCTGACTAAATGATTCCTTCAGTGAGGAATTATATATGGGAAAATATGCATCATGTAAGACTTGGTTTACAATTTTATATTTTACCGTCATAACTGTTACCCTTATGAATCAGGCTTCTGAGGCTTGTCCAGTGAATTTTTGCTTCCAATCGTTATTAGATACTTTCACTCTTACACATACTTGTTATGCGGCTCTATTGAATCATGGTTGTGACAGAATGGGTTGGGTGGATAATGGTGGTGCTTCTTCAAACTGATAGCCAGTACTCTGGTGGGACATCCTAGTAACCATCTGGTCGAAACACTACAAGCGTTTTTGTTCTGCTTTCATAAGACTACAATATAGTAATGGACAGAAGATACTGAGCTTTTTATACCTTGTGCTTCAAGTTTTTGGCAGCCTGCTTGCTTTCAGGAAAATTGATGTTGCAACCGACCACTACTATGTGGTATGGTACCTGCCTTTATGATTAAAAATTTTGTAGCTTGGAAGTTTTTCCCAGCCTGCTTTCGAAGCAAGGTTCTGAGATCTGTTTCTTTACTGAACATGTTTTTAGTATAAGGAAGCGTTTTAGCTCTTCAATGAATAAGTAGGTGGCTCTGAAAAGAGCCTTTGTTGTTCAGCCAGTGGCCCATCGAGGGCTGGTTAGCAGCTTTACTTGCCCTTAGCTTTGTGATGACTCTCGGTCTTCTTTGGCAGCAGAACGGCCTGAATATTGGGAAGGACACCGCCCTGCGCAATTGTCACACGACCAAGAAGCTTGTTAAGTTCCTCATCGTTACGGATAGCTAGCTGCAAGTGGCGTGGTATAATACGGGTCTTCTTGTTGTCACGCGCAGCGTTGCCCGCGAGTTCCAGGATCTCGGCGGTGAGGTACTCCAGCACTGCTGCGAGGTACACAGGAGCACCGGCTCCTACACGTTCTGAGTAGTTTCCCTTGCGAAGAAGGCGATGGACTCGTCCTACTGGGAACTGGAGGCCGGCCCGAGACGAACGTGTTTTAGCCTTAGCTCTAGCTTTCCCTCCTTGCTTGCCACGTCCAGACATTGCAAAAACGTTAAGTGCGGAAAAGCGGAAACAAACAGAGCATAAAGCAGAACAGGAGTGGTTTGCATTACCAATAAGAAGCTACTTATAGTCCTAGAGGGACTTGTGAAAAGTGAGATCAGATTGGTTACTGTCATGAGCCAATAGGAAGTTGAGCTGTTGGTATCAAATTTACATATTGACATCACTACATCCCTTTCAAATCAGAAATGGCTTTTCTTGGATCACGATTTGCATACAACCATTATAAATAATGGACAGTCTTCACATGGCTCCATCTTTTCTTTCTCACAACACTTACACTGCGTCTTTGTCATGCCTGAGCCAGCGAAGTCTGCTCCCGCGCCCAAGAAGGGGTCGAAGAAGGCGGTGACCAAGGCGCAGAAGAAGGACGGCAAGAAGCGCAAGCGCAGCCGCAAGGAGAGCTACTCGGTGTACGTGTACAAGGTGCTGAAGCAGGTCCACCCGGACACCGGCATCTCGTCCAAGGCCATGGGCATCATGAACTCGTTCGTGAATGACATCTTCGAGCGCATCGCGGGCGAGGCGTCGCGCCTGGCGCACTACAACAAGCGCTCGACCATCACGTCTCGGGAGATCCAGACGGCCGTGCGCCTGCTGCTGCCCGGGGAGCTGGCCAAGCACGCCGTGTCCGAGGGCACCAAGGCCGTCACCAAGTACACCAGCTCCAAGTAAATGTAGTTCTGCAGCCACACCGGTAAACCAAAGGCTCTTTTCAGAGCCACTCACTGTTTTCACTATCTGGGCTGCGCGTTTGTGCCGTGTTGCGAGCTAAGTCGTAGTGGGGGTGGGAGTTTTAGGTGCATGTTTCGGTGAGACCTATCCTTACTGGAGGTGGGGTTTTAGGTGCAGGTTTTGGTAAGACCAACAGCGCTTGTTTCCAAGTTGTTTACAGCACATTAGGAATATGTGAACAGCACTGAAAAGATGGTTTTGGGGATGAAAAACCAGCTGCGCTTGCGCTTCTTGCCGTCTTTCTTCTGCGCCTTGGTCACAGCCTTCTTCAACCCCTTCTTGGGCGCGGTAGCGGCCTTTTTTGGCTCAGTGATAATGAGAACTGCCTTGAAAGTCTCAAAGTTCTAGAAATGCGTGTCCATTTTTTACAGGGCGTGTATGCAAGTATGTCTAAACCTGTTAACATTTTTTAACCTGTTAGATTTTATATAGTCCAAATTTAATATAAACAGAATTGGTAGATTCACATTGCCAGTTCGTTATATGCAAATAAGGTTCATGTGTTCTTCACTGTGATTGGTTCATGTCACAATCTTGCTCTTAGCCAATGAATGGTTGTAATTTACAATATGGTGAGCAAGTATATTTGCTGCACTTTCATTTTGGTAGTATTTTTGTCCTTTCTTTGAGGATTTTTTAATTAAAATTTCAAATGTCTGGACGTGGAAAGCAGGGAGGGAAAGCCCGCGCTAAAGCTAATACTCGCTCATCTAGAGCTGGTCTCCAGTTCCGCAAAGGTAACTAACTACTCAGAGCGGGTTGGAGCCGGTGCTCCGGCGTATCTGCCAGCTGTACTGGAATACTTTACGGCTGAGATTCTTGAGCTTGCTGGTAACGCGGCCCGCGATAACAAGAAGACCCGCATCATCCCGCGCCATCTGCAACTGGCTATCCGTAATGACGAGGAACTCAATAAGCTGTTGGGCAAAGTCACCATCGCACAGGGTGGAGTGTTGCCAAACATACAGGCTGTTTTGCTCCCCAAGAAAACGGAGAGTCACCACAAGGCCAAGGGAAGTGAAGTGTTAGATGTCATCTAACCAAAGGCTCTTTTAAGAGCCCTACATCCACTCATTCCCTAATAGAGCTTCCATTTGCTCTAGAATTTTAGAAGTGTATTCTGAACCTGAGGCATACTAATCCTCAACTCTGAAACTAGCCAAATGGCTAGTCGGTTTAGCATCTCTAAATGTCAAAGGAGTCAAAGATCACAGAATGCCATAAAGTTGTGATAACTCATTAGTTATAAGATTTGTTCTTTTTTCACGGTACTTGTATTAATCTGGGCATCATTTGACTACAAACCAGTACTTACAATTTCATCTGCCAATTGGTCTTAATATTGCATTGACTTGGAAAAAACAGTATTTTTCGGTATTTTTTTCTTTTTGTTTATTATATGTCACTTAAGGGTTTTGAACTTGCCACATGTGAACGTATTTTGGTGGTCTATGTGCCTACAATATAAACTTCAGATTTGAAGTTTCTGTTAGTGGTTTTGATGCCCCTACACTTAAGTTCTTAATATTTAATAAAATTAAGTTTAAGGATCTGCTGTTTAGTCATATTTGGGTTACGAAATTATTTGGACAGTAATATCAAGTGTACGGTTACAAAACAATGAAAGTTTTCTTATCCTTTGGTTGGTGATGGGGCTTGAACTCGGCCTGGCCGTGGTCCCTCAGCTCAAGGCTATAATGCTGTGTCACTTTAGCCACAGGGTCACTTCCAGTTTCCTAATGGTTTATTGGAGATAAGAGTCGCAGGGACTTTTCTGCCTGGGCTTTGAACTGTGATCCTCAGGTCTCAGCCTCCTGAGGTTCTAGGTTTACAGTCAGGAGCCACCGGTGCCAGTTAATTTCTAGCATCAAAATTTAAACTTTTTTACTAATCAACTTCTGTCATCCCATGATATGGTAAATAAATTTCTGATTACAAACAACAACAACACTTGAAAATGGATGACAATGGCATGAAGTGAGAGAGGTTGAAAACAATTTTAGCTGGTGGGTCATATAAAATGCTATGTGTTCTAAACAGGAGGTTCATGTAAGTTCCTATGTGACCTAAATGCTCTGGCTCTTGAGTGAACATCACCATCAGTATCTTTGCTGTAGATGATAAGGGACAGTCAATCTTATCCAATTAGAACAAGATTCTCTGTCAATATGATCAGGACTTCAAAAAAAAATCTCAACTTGGCGGGGTGCCAGTCAGTGGCTCATGCCTGTAATCCTAGCTACTCAGAAGGTTGAGATTTGAGGATCATAATTCAATACCAGTCCTGGTAGGAAAGTTTCTGTGAAACTCTTATCTCCAATAAACCACCAGAAAAACAGAAATGGCACTGTGGCTCAAGTAGTACGGTACTAACTTTGAGCTGAAGAGCTGAGGCACAATGCCCAGGTGGAGTTCAAGCCCCAGGACAGACAAAAAAAAGGAAAGAAAAAAAAAAAGAAAAAAACCTCAACTTTGTGGTATCCTTATATTATTTTTTATTGGTATATTAAATAACTACATCCACTTGATGACTAATATGTAATATAGTATAGCGGTGATATGTATAGGTAATATTTGAGATGTTGACAACTACAGTGTGATGTTAGTAATATCACATCCTGCCAATCACACTGCTTAGTCTAAATTCATAAATGGAATGAATACTATGATTTACTTATAAGTTGGTTAAAAAAGATAAGTCCATAATATTACTTCTCTCCATTCCCAGATCCCATGTTCACTGTCTTTGTAAAGAATCCCACTCTTTCCATGTACAGTAAGTAAACTCATGAAAGATATGTGATAAATTGCGTTGCTTTTCAAATCTTGGATAGATGGGGAAAGGCACAATCCTGAAAGCACCTGAACTCCTCAAACATTTCAATGACTTAAGTGTAAGTATTTACTGTTGGCTTTGGTGAAGTCATCTGTTCTGACTGACATTCTGGCTGCTCAAATTCTGCCTGGCTTCCTGTAACTCAGGCGGCCCTGACCTGGTTTGGCCATCTGGTCTGGCCACAATCACTAAACCCATCTACAACAGTTTCTAGCTCTCCTTCATTCTTTCTGGTCCTCTCTATAATTACCCTCCCTAGCTTAATGGCCACCACTGTTCTCCATTCCCAAAGGAGGCAGACTGTCACTCTGTCATTTAAATTCTTTCTTCTGACATGTGTGTGGTGTGTTATCCAGTCAAGACATTTAAGTTATCATTTTAATGAATTCTGAAAACCAAAAATCATTAAATTAGGGCACATTTAGGCACATCACTTTACAGTGGTGAATTCCTCAGGTTTTTCTATGAAGCCAAGTTTAATTTGGAACTTGCTATGTAGTCCAGGGTATCCTCAATCATTTGACCCTCTTGCCTCAATTTCTTTTTTTTTTTGGGTCTGGTTGTGGGGCCTGAACTGTGGGCCTGGGCGCTGTCCCCCAGCTATTCAGTTCAAGGTTAGCATTCTACCACTTGTGCCACAGCGCCACTTCCGGCTTTTTTCTTTTTGCTTATATGGTGCTGAGGAATGGAACCCAGGGCCTCATGCATGCAAGGCAAGCGCTCTACCACTGAGCCACCTTCCCAGCCCATTGCCTCAATTTCTTGAGTGCTGACATTACAGGTTTGTTGAGCTGCCATATCTGGTTTAGAGAGGTGAATCTTGAGGGAAGAAGCTCAAGGCAACCAGTTCTATATGTCACTATCATGTGCAATGGTTGCACATATGCAATTTAAATATTTCAAGTGCTTTGAATGATATATATATATATATGTATGAATGTTCTAGAATTAGATTTTCATAAATATTTACAAAAAAACCAATATCACTTGCCCAAGACCAAGATTACATGTACAGAACGTGGTATGTAGTAGAGTATATCACAAGTAGTCTGGGAACTAGTGGTCTGGGAACTAGCATGTGGTAGAAGATACAATAGTAAACTTTATTACTGGTATAGCCAATTCAAAACTTTCAATGCACTGATTTAGATCTTCATAGATTTGTAATGTAATGATACAAAGTTTTCCATCTTCAGTGTTTCTTTTCACTTGATTTTTCTTTTTCTTTTGTTTTGGTGCCAGTCCTATGGCTTGAACTCAGGCCCTGGGCACTGTTCTGAGCTTCATTTTGCTTAAGGCTAGCACTCTACCACTTGAACCACACCACTACTTCCGGCTTTTCTGGTTTATGTGGTATTGAGGAATAGAACCCAAGATTTCAAGTATGCTGGGCCAGCACTCTACTACTAAGCCACATTGCCAGCCTCTCCATTTTTTTAATTCTATAAATTTCATAGGCTTTTAAGTCCCTCATTGAGCCTCTGGGGCACAAGCATGATCGGGTGAACAGACATAAATAAGTTACACCTTGGATTTTAAACAGTAATGGTATGCATTATTACTGCTGCATTTAAACCAGAAGTAAGAGCATGTTTTGGATTATCAGAGGGACCAGTGTCTGGTTTGTTGATAGCACAGGAACTATACAAACAAGCATTCTGAACTCACATTAAAACATAGGAACACATATTAAATTATAATTGCAGGCTAGACATTGTCTTTTGCTTTACACTTACAGTATATTAGCAGGAGTTAAAAGTTCAGAAGGGAACTGACTGTGGGCGGGATTTTGGGCGGGAACTTGACTAGGTTTCCACCCCTAACCTTGTAGTTCTCAAACAGGTCCGTCACGTTAGTATAAAAGCTTTGGGAAGACCTCCCGAAAGGTACTTCGCTTTCCATTTTTGCAGTTCAGTTTTAAAATGTCTGGACGCGGTAAGGGTGGAAAAGGCTTAGGTAAGGGCGGTGCTAAGCGGCACCGGAAGGTTCTTCGAGACAACATCCAGGGCATTACTAAGCCTGCCATTCGCCGCCTTGCTCGCCGTGGCGGAGTCAAGCGTATTTCTGGTCTCATATATGAAGAGACCCGAGGTGTTCTCAAGGTGTTTCTAGAGAACGTCATCCGCGATGCCGTTACCTACACGGAGCACGCCAAGCGCAAGACCGTCACAGCCATGGACGTGGTTTATGCCCTCAAGCGGCAGGGCCGCACTCTTTATGGCTTTGGCGGCTAGAGCTTCAGCTTGAGATTGTCTACAACAAATCAAGGCCCTTTTCAGGGCCGCCCATCTTTTCACTTTAAAAGAGTTGACAAAGTTTGATAGTGGCTGGCTGGTAGAGCCATCTCTCGATCTATTTGTTATTTTAACATAGATTTGCCTATGGCTTTGGAGTTTTAGCATTGGCTTTTCTGTGTGAACTGCAGGCAGGGTAGGTTCTTACAGGGCCACCAGACTTGCCAGGAGCTTGTAAGAGGTTCAAGGTAAACTTACTGCTCTTACACAGGAGTAAGCTTCACAAGCCCTATGCCATGCAAACTATACACTTTAACTTGAGTAGCTTGCAAAGTTGTTACCTCATTAGAGGACTGCATTGTATGACAGTTTGGGAGGAGTGTATCGGTTTGTCAGATGGTATGCTTCAAGTTATATGCGGCTACAATTTTGAAAGTGGATGCTATTAAACATTTGTTGAGGAAGTATATATAGGCTATTCATGCACTTAAAGAGACCAAAGGGATTATTGGAACCATTAATATGTGTAATTAAGGCTCCTGGGTTGCCATGTTTTATTCCCTTTTATTCACTTAAGGTACAACTTTTTTTTCAGGCCTCCCCCTCCCCCCCCTTTCCTCAACCTTTCTTCCCTCTGTCAAGGATGATTTGGCAAGAGGCTTCTGCTGTTGCCAGCTTCTGTATCTTGTTTCTCGCCTGCATTTCTTTTCCCTTTCAATAAAAAGGAACAATAAATTTCACTGCCTAGTTTTTTCATGCATACCACTAAATAATTTTGGTTGTTTTTCACTGACATCTAACAATTGACCTTGAATTTTTTGTTTTGAGAGTTTCATGCTGTGTAGTCCATGTTGGATATAAACTCAAGATTTTACTGCCTTAGACTCCTAGATACCTCTATTTTTTTTGGGGGGGGGGCTAGTCGTGGGGCTTGAACTCAGGGCCTGGGCACTGTCCCTGAGTTTCTTTTGTTCATGGCTAGCACTCTACTACTTGAGTCACAGCACCACTTCTGGCTTTTTCTGTTTTATGTGGTACTGAGGAATTGAACCCAGGACTTCATCCAAGCACTCTGCCACTAAGCCACATTGCCAGCCAATTTTATTTTTTTCTTTTGTGTGTGTGCCAGGCCTGGGGCTTGAACTCAGGTTCTGGGTGCTGTCCCCAGCTTTTTTGCTCAAGGCTAGTGCTCCTATCAGTTGGGCCAGAACTCGACTTCTGGCTTTTTTGGTGCTTCATTGGAGATCAAATTCTCCTGGACTTTCCTTGCCATGAATGGCTTCAAATCATGGTTCTCAGATCTCAGCCTCCTGAGTAGTTAGGATTAAAAGTGTGAGCTACCAGTGCCTGGCTTTTATCCTACATTTAATTCTACATATAGCTGTTTAAAAAATACTCAAAATCCCAATAATATGGAGTGAAAAACTATTTAGGTATTTTCTTTGGACATATAATAATGTCCCAAATGTTTAGGCACCTGTTTAGCCCCCACTTATCCGAATTTACATTTGATCACTAATAGTCCAGAACACGTGTCTGTTTCTTTAGCACAACTCCTTTTTATCAATATTTTCTTTTTTTTTTGGGTCCGGTTGTGGGGCTTGAACTCTGGGCCTGGGCACTGTCCCTCAGCTCTTCAGCTCAAGGCTAGCACTCTACCACTTGAGCCACAGCGCCACTTCTGGCTTTTTTCTTTTTGCTTATGTGGTGCTGAGGAATCGAACCGAGAGCCTCATGCATGCAAGGCAAGTGCTCTACCACGGAGCCACCTTCCCAACCCTTATCAATATTTTCAATCGACAAATAATTGGTTTGGCTTGGAGCTGTTATTTCTTAGATTCCTTTCTCTAAAGTAGTAACTAGTAACTACCATAGCTCTTGGTTTTTATATCATAAAAACACTTAGAATTCTAGTCTATTTGAAATTATCTTGCTGTGTTGTGTTTATTGTGTGTTTGTCTCACTTCTCCCAAAGGAAGAGCTCACTTTTGCCAGTCGTGATCCTTGCAGTATCTCAATACAAATACAAATACTGAAATAAAACAAATATTTGATGAAATACTGGATGGAAAACCCAACTGCTCTATAATTTGTTTCCTGCATCCACTGCCCTAATCTTGTTAATATTTCCTTTTACTTGCCTCTCTATAGCAATACTTCCCTCCAATCCAAAAAATTTATCCTATCGTGTAAATCCCTGCTTAGGAGCTTTCTGCAACTGCTCCTTATCTGTAAAATCAATTTAAGCTTTGACAAACATTATCTGGTGTCATAATTCTAAATATCTTTATGACAAGAATTATTCCCAGCCTAGGACCCAATTTAACAGAAAACTGAGATTGGGTCCTTTAGGCAAGTTTCTGCATAATTTGGCTTGGTAAGATTACACCTGTAATCCTAAACACTTGGGATACTAACACAGGAAAGGGTATATAGACCGTGTGAGACAAGCAATCAGGCAGATGGAAGTCACATATGTTTGGGAGGCTGGCTAGGCATGTTTCTCAAGGGCACTCAACAGGACAACAGTGACAATGATTCTTGGGAAGATTGGATATTTCCACTTGAGTAAGGGACCTTTCTCACTCCTTAAGAAACCTTTGAGCAAGGTTGACTTCTTGAAGTAACTTTCGATATGATTTGAGAAGCTAATAACCTGTTTACTTTCCTGGGATTAGTTATGGGAAAGATTATAAGCTTTAGACTTCCAAACCTGTCTAGCTTGTGAATATTGTTACAGTGATCTGTAGATGTACAGTGCATGATCCTCACCACCAGTATCCGTCCATCCCTTCACCAATCTAAAATGTACATCCACGTTTATTTTTTCTCAATACCTGCCAAGGGCCATCAGATTTCTTCCTTGGCTGGATTGTCCCACAATTGCTAAAATCAGCAGGAAAATGAGTCCAGACAGGGTTAAGACTTGAGAACAAACTGAGGCACTCTACCTAGATTTCCTAACTATGGCAGGGGCTGAATAAGGAAGCTGTTTTCGCAGTAAATAGAAATGGGGTAATCTTTAGCTTGGCCACTGAAGGGTGGGGGGAAACCAGTGACTGGGGTTTTCTGTTAAGGGGAAAGTAAGTTACCTGTCTGGTGGCAAGAGGTTGCGACACTATTACAGAGGTACTTTCCTCCAACTCAAAAACCCATGTGTACACCTATGTCTGTCTCCAGGAAGATTACAGGAGATATGCGCCAGCACATAGCCGAGGAGGGGAATTAAAAAACCCAAGGTGTAGAATTAGCAGCTTTGTGAGCGTGTTTAGAAACGTCCACTTGTTATGTGTGATTTCCCAACAAAGTGGCAGTTCACACAAAATGGCGACCTGACGTCAGCAAGTGTTGCTACTGGTTCCCACACTCCCTATGGCGAGTTGCGTGTTCACCACTCGTCTGCTAGTGGATGTGACCACCCAGGATGGCACCGTAGGATAGGTCTCACCGAAACATGCACCTAAAACTCCCACCCCCACTACGACTTAGCTCGCAACACGGCACAAACGCGCAGCCCAGATAGTGAAAACAGTGAGTGGCTCTGAAAAGAGCCTTTGGTTTACCGGTGTGGCTGCAGAACTACATTTACTTGGAGCTGGTGTACTTGGTGACGGCCTTGGTGCCCTCGGACACGGCGTGCTTGGCCAGCTCCCCGGGCAGCAGCAGGCGCACGGCCGTCTGGATCTCCCGAGACGTGATGGTCGAGCGCTTATTGTAGTGCGCCAGGCGCGACGCCTCGCCCGCGATGCGCTCGAAGATGTCGTTCACGAACGAGTTCATGATGCCCATGGCCTTGGACGAGATGCCGGTGTCCGGGTGGACCTGCTTCAGCACCTTGTACACGTACACCGAGTAGCTCTCCTTGCGGCTGCGCTTGCGCTTCTTGCCGTCCTTCTTCTGCGCCTTGGTCACCGCCTTCTTCGACCCCTTCTTGGGCGCGGGAGCGGACTTCGCTGGCTCAGGCATCTTGCTGGTCTCTTCCGAAGATAGTGAAGTCTCCCAGAGCGGATATTGTCCTCTTATAGACAGCTTTATGCAAATGAAAACTTGAGTTTTTCTGTTTCTGATTGGTTCCTTTGAGTCGAGCTGCTTTTCACCAATCAAGTTTCTTTAACATCATTCAACATCAATAGTCCCCCACCCTACCCACTCAGGCTTGTCTAGACCTGAAAGTCCAGTCACCTTATTTTCTGTAAACCAGTCAGAAGCCGGAAGTGGAGCTGTGTCTTCAATGCTCCCACTTCAGGCCCGGAGTTGAAGCCTCACTACCGACCGGCACACAATTTCATTAAGTACATAAATGAAATCTGAGGAGCCTAATTGTTACAGAGAACAGAGTTAAAAACTAGAAAAGGTATAATTTTACATTTGACTGTAGATTCTTGACAGAAAGGAGGAACTATATTCACAGGAGTCTAAAGACAGTGTTTACTGTTGAATTAAGTGAAGCATGAAGCGAGAGGGCAGCAAAATAAACCGCAAAGCAATAGCAAAATAACACTTCTAAAAAGGAAACAAGACAGAAAAGCATTTCGTAGACAATATATGGATGATATTTCTTACTGAAGAAATGAATTACAGGATCAGAAATATTTACTGAAAAGATTAAAAGAAAAAAGTCTAAAACAAAAGCTTTATTATTGTTTTTGTTATTGTTGAAGTACAGTAGCTTCTTCTCTTTCCAGTATCTTTAACTTCATTGCCCTTTTCTAAACAATCCCTCTTGCCAGTTCTCACACTGATAGGTTTAAGTCCTCAGAGGACAAGATGTTTTCTATACTTGGAAGATTAACACTGAAGCCTTTTGTTTCACATATTGTACATTTGTTTTTCTTACTGAATTGGTGATGAGAAAAACTTTTGAAAACACATTTAGTATTCTATTCTCCATAACCTTTGTAGCAGTGTTGGGAATAGTAATTAACATGCTTTGTATAATAATAAATGCCTTCAATGATTTTTTTTTGTCAGAAACTCATTACACAGGACAGATTTGTTTTTGTTAAGAAAACAACCTTTTACCAAAACGTCCAGTCAAATTTGACATTTAACTGAAGATCATACTTCTCTTTATTCTCTGGCCAATGCAGTTCTTTACATGAATTTGGTTATGATCAGTATGTAATATACAGAAATCAAGGTCACTTTTTCTCAAATATTTCTTCCTTTTCACTTTCTCCATAATTTTTTCCAGCAACATTTTTCTTGTTGTTTGACCAGTTGACCTCAAAAGGCTTTTTTTCCTCTCTCATCTTAAAAGGGAAATTAATACGCCGAGGGAGGTCCCCATCATAGTGCATTTTACATCGTGCCTTCACAAGGATAAAAGAATATTCTGTGAGGTTTTGCCAGAGGGCTGTTTTGGGTTAAAGACAGTTAAAAAAACTAAAACAAACAAGCAAAACATTACCCGAAATGTTAATATATAGATGCCCTCTGTATACCAGAAAAATTAACATTTGTAATGGCTAGATTATGTATAACAGGTAGTTAGAATCTACTTTTGCTAAACAAACAAACAAAAAAACCTGACACTTTAATTGGGCCTGTAAATGTCCAAATGTTAAAAGGGTAAAGGAAAAATTGTAAAAGGACAGGATAAAAATTGGACATCTCTGTTTCCATTTCACATCTGTCTCCTTGGCTCTGAACTGTTCTTTTCTGCAGTCAGTTTATTCTGGAAATGACTGGACTGAGGGACAACATATAACAGATGACCAAAACTATTCCAAAGCAACAACAGTGAACACTGAAAGACAGAATCATCTTCCTCCATTGAGGATAACTACCCATAATGAAGATGCTGCATTCCAGAACAGGAGTTATCATCTCAAAGAACCAGATTCCTTTCTTTCTTTTTTTTTTTTTTTTAACTTTTTCTTAAATGCATAGTTTATTGCCATGACAAATTTGGTTCAGAACAAAAACAGTAATATACTCAGGTTGCTTCTTAAACTAGAGAAATAATGAAATGTCTGTGCAAGTAATGCATAATTAAAGCTTGTCATTCCTCTGTAATGATTAAGTTTGCTAACATTAAGAAATAAGATGATATAGCCACTATACTTGGGTCTTTGTTTTTCAATCATTCTCTCAACTGAATTTCTGTTTCAAGTTTTAATAATGTAATGGTCACTTGGAATATGCTATATACTTTGATTTAATTACAAAGTCTGTTAGCTATAACCTAGACACATATTGCTCATATTTTATTTTATTTTTGTCGGTCTTGGGCCTGAACTCTGGGCCTGAGTGCTGTCCCTCAGCTCTTCACCTCAAGGCTAGCGCTCTACTTCTTGAGTCTCAGCCACAGTTCCAGCTTTTTCTGCTTATGTGGTGCTGAGGAATCGAACCCAGGGCCACATGCATGCAAAGCAAGTATTCTTACCACTGAGCCACCTTCCCAGTCCCATGCTCATATTTTAAAATAGATAATGCCATCTAATAAAAGATCTGTGTAAACTATATTATAAAAATTCCATTAACAGTTTAATATAGTAAATGAAAATGTCACTTGCGTGGACAGCACATTTGGTTATAGCTACTGTACTGAAATTTGTTTAATCAAGCCTTTCTAATTATGATGTAAAGATTTACTTTAATGCCATCCTACTCTATTTTCCAGAGAAATATTTTCCAGAATAATATTAGAGGAATTTTTCTTAAATTTATTTATCTATATCTATATATTTTTTTGTCAGTTGTGGGGCTTGATCTCTGGGCTTGGGCACTGTTCCTGAGCTCTTTAGCTCAAGGCTAATGCTCTACCACTTGAGCCACAGCACCACTTCTGGTTTTCTGGTGGGAAATAGGAGATAAGTGTCTCATGGACTTTCCTGCTTGGGCTGGCTTTGAACCACGATCCTCAGATCCCAGCCTCCTGAGTAGCTAGGATTACAGGCATGAGCCACCGGGTCCCAGCTGAGACTGAATTTATTATAGTTGGTATTTCCAAAGAAACAAACTAAAGTGAAATGGACACCACTTACTATAATTTCATGTGAAAAGAATGGGTATCTTTACAGATATCAGGAAATGAAAACAATGTTTTAACGTGTGCTTTTTTTCTGATGTTTTGTTATTAGTGTATTAATGGCCAAATAAACTGAATCTCAGAAGTGTTTCCTCTTCTCTTTTATAGAGACTATCTAGAATTGGTTTTATTCTTCCTGAAGGGTTTAGTAGAATTCACCATTGAATCATATAGCCAATGGTTTTCTTTTCTGAAAAGTTTTTATTAATAAATGAAGGTCTGTTCAGTGAGTTTTGGTGTTTTTTATCCTAATTTGTGTTCATCTTAGTGGTAAGAATTAATTATAATGTTTGTTCTGATTATCCTTTATAGTCAGCACTTTTTTTTGGGGGGGGGAATCAGACCCATGGTCTCCTGAATGTTAGGCAAATGACCTTCATTCCTAGCTCTCTTTCATTGCTGATACCACTAATCAGTATTTTCTTTTTTCCCTCGTAAGTCAGTTAGAGACTTATCCATCTTCAGATTCCTCTTTTTTAAGGGATGATGATTAACAATCTCTTAAATCCTTTATAGAATCCAAACTGAGATAATTATCAAGTAGGCCTCACTTTGACTGGGACAACTTAAGTATTCTTTGCTGTAAGTAGTAATCTAACCCAAATGCTAATTTTTGTTCTCTAAATATGGGATGAAATACTTAATATTCTTCTTCCCTTGCTTGGAAATCACATCTTTTTTTTGGGGGGGGGTTGTTTGTTTGCTTCATTGATGAAAGCACCAGTCTAGAAAACCCCATGGACACTAAGTCATGTACAGCAAAATTCATTGTCAGCAAGTTGGTAGGAAAGCTAAGGATAGTGTAGCAGCCTCTCCTTATGCAGGGATGTGGTTATATAGTGCCAGGGAAGCTAAAGGCAGGGCAAGGAGACAGAAAGTGGGAAGTCTTGCAGCTGGACTCTAGAAATAACATGATGGAGGCTGTCAAGCCAAAATAGGGGTGGATATGCTAACAATTGAATTTCCTTTCTTCAATTGGTATATTGGGGTCAGTAGCTGAAATAATCATTTTGTTTTAGTTGATCAATAGGACAATGGATATAATCATCTATGATGGAAATAAGATAGGATAACTTCTGGTGAAGGCAACTCAGAAACACAGTATTTAAAAACATAGAAGTGCTAACCTTGCTCCAAAGAAAAGCAACAGGATGTATTCCTTCCTGACAGATACATTTTTAACCTCAAGAATTAACATTTGTTTGGCAGAATGTAGGCCTTCTTGAGAGAAATGCTTCAGGTGGAAGCAGCCTCCTAACCTAAAATGTGGACAACAGGATATCTTCCTTATCTAAAGGATAAGCATCTGTTTTTATTGTAGTATGCCATAAAAAAAATGGAAAAACGACCCAAACATCCAGGAACTCAGAAAGTGTAACACCAGGAGTAATTAGAGCAAAGATAGAACACCTATCTTTGTATAGTTTTAAAGTTAGAACCCCTGTCCTTATCATATACGAATACCCCCAGTAGCCAAGGAACCGTTTCTTTCTAGCTCTCTCCTTGAAAGCAACCAATGTCTGTTATAGTGTGCCTCCTCCTTTCTGCTTGCCTGTCTGCTTCCCTGCTTGCTTACTTACTCAATAAAGCTTTGCCAAGTTTTCTTACTATTGTGATTTGTCCAGAAAGTCTTGTTCTGCGATACAAGTAAAGAATCCTAAGAGTCCCTACTTTTAAAGGGGAAATTCAGAAACCTTTTCATCCAGTTACAACAGGACTCAGATCATAATCAGTCTTGTCTGTTGCAATCAATTTTTCTTTTAGATCTTGTTGGGTCTGCTAGTTATTACATGAAAAAAAATTAAACACAATTGCTTCTATTTTAATGTAGTCTGGATTTATTGAAATGTACTGAAACTGAGTTTTAGATCCTAGGCCTAAAATCCAGGTGTCCCAAGTTAGATTCAACTCACCTTCATTTGCTCTTCACCTAGTGAAGAGCAGAGAAAAGAGATTAATAATGTCAGCCTTGGGAAGACAGAGCTTTGGTACAGCGTCAGCCATCTCCTGAGATATAGACATGGGCTTCAGGTTAAATAGGGAAACTTAGGGGTAGGAGATGAGAAAGGTATGCATAGTTAATAACAATCTCAAGTGGAAAGTAAGACCTTGATGACTACTAGCTCAGTCTTTGTTCCAGCTGTTCCCATGAAGTTAGTATTCTGTTATTAGAACAGGACAGGAACAATGTAGTCTCCTGAGTTTTAGGGCTGCAAAGAAGATGACATTGTCTGTTTGAGGGGCTGTTTAACTACCACACAAGAGGATTATCTGAATCTCCTGCAAATAAATAATTGCAAAGGGAAAGAAGCAGAGAATTGTTCAGATCAAAGGGCACAGGTATAGATTGGGGGACTTTTTGGTCATTTACAGATTCAGCAAAAGCATCTTTTAAGCTCTCTCTTACAATATATCAAAACATGTTGCATACCATGGATATTTTCTGACCAAATAAAGCTTCTGTATCATTTGAGGCCCAGATCCTTTGATGGTAAGCTAAAGAATATAACCATGAAGTCATCTCAAAACTATTCTTTTTATAAATAAGTCTGATAGACTTATTCCTAGTATAATTCTGTCCACACCCAAATTTTTTTGTATGTGCATAAAATATCATTTAAAGATGTTATAAATTTAAGTGGAATTTATTCTAATATATTTTGCTATATTATTGTGATCTCATGGAGGGATGCTTTATGATTTGCTTTTGCCTTTTTCAGATCATGCTAGACTATATGCAATTTCCCTTTATGCTTTATTGTTTATTTTATGTCAGACTAGCGTTACTGAAATATATTACTTATATATTAACATGTTACTCTGAGAACAAATCATGTATAGCTTTTAAAACACAATAGAAATAAATATGCCTAGAAATGTTTACTAAAACCATGCAAGATCTTGCCCATGTAATTGTAACCCCTCTGTACAGTATTTTCACAATAAAAAAACATGCAAGTACAGTCAATATTAACATTAGACAAAATATTACTTAAGGCAAAAAGTATTATAGAGACAGAGGACACTGTAGTGACATTTATCTGCAATGAGAAAAACTAGAAATTCTAGAAAGTTCTGAAGCAAAATAACTAATGAGTAGTGAAAGAACAAACATACTAACATATACTTGCCCAACTTAAAAGAAAAATATTTTTCTCTTAAATGCACCCAAACAATAACAACCTAATTGCTGAAACAAGGGTAATAAACACACCAGCTTCAATTCCCTGGTTCAGGTACCAAGAGATTCTGGGCTGTGGAAATTAGGCTACCCCTTGGGGAGAAAGGTCTAGGCTTTCAAACAGAACTAAGACACCTAGTATAAAGCCAAAACTATTTGAGAAGAGTGAATTGGAGAAAAAAAATGTAGCAAAGGTTTCTACGGATAAGATTTGTTTATTTTTGCAAGACTGCAGAAGAGTGAAAGAGGAAATTTGTTGGGAAGCTTTAGAGTCTGAGGTTCTCAAGGAATGTCCTGGAATTAAAATGATGCAGTTTTCTAGCGCCACCTAGTGTCCCATGGCTAGGATCCAGAGTGTTCAATTAATTTTCCTCCTATATACCCTTCAGGTAGGGAGTATAATTTTGTAGGGGTTGATCATTTATTTATTTATTGAACAATTTGTTTGATGGTAAATTATTATGTGCCAGGAGCACCATTAGTGACTTTGAATGTCTAAATAAAAGATAAGTTTCAAAAGACAAGAGTTTTCTTTGACACATTGGAGACAGTCAAGTTTCAAAACAAAAAAGCTTTAGATGTATCAGTTTCTCAGTCATACAAGGAATTTCAGAGATTAAAATTATGTGAGACAAAAAGCAACTAGGTATTAAAATTTAAAGAAAAGAATAGCAAGGAACAAAGGAAAATTGTAAATAGTTAAAATCAAAGTTTCATACATTTATTACAAGTTTCTTCAGTGTAGAATTTCAGTTTTGTCTTTTGATTTTTAGAAATAATGAAAATATTTTTGTTAGCTCTTGAAAAGTGCTGTGGGCTTTGGGTACTACTGTGCCTAATGGTTATTGACTTTTTATGCACCTGAAGATCAAATTATAAAATATATTTATTCAGTTGGGAAGTAATTATCCACACACAGATACTGAAACCTTACAAGAAATACCCTACAAACAGCAAGGTGACCTTGGAGTTAAGAGGGGTGTCTTCATCCATCAGATATATGGTGAAATGAGCTCTGGAGTTTGGAGTTTCTTATGTGTAAATGACCACAGTTGTGCTCAGAATGGATGCCTGCAAAGTCAAGGTTAAAACACTGGCTGCCCAAAGGCAAGGTCCCCGTTCACAAGCTGTGAACATCCTGGTAAAAGACTGTTGGCCAAACACTGACACAAAACTATAGTCTGCTATGTGGGGAAGCTGGAGTGGCTTAATGTGGTGAGAGCCTAACGTTCTCAGGTTGTGCTAGAGTATGGGAAAATGGTTTTCAGATGGAGTGGGCCCTAGGTAAGAGCTTATAGTGAGTTGGATATTTGTTGTCATACTTGTCTTGTTTCTCCTGGAATAGGATGGCATGTCCTTCAAAACAAAGCTATTCAAATGTGGTATCAGTACTAATAGTATTTCTACCAGCTGGATAATTTGGAAATATAAACTATTGCCCTCTAATCCAGAAATGGATCTCAATGGCTCAGAAACTGTTGGGTTGGTGCCTAGCAATTTTATTTTTAAGTGTTTCAGGTGATTTTGATGCTCACACAAGTTTGAGATTGTTTCAAAGCACTGTGTTTCTTTTACATTGATTGGATAGGGTAGAGGGTGACACCTCAAATAGTGGGTTCAGGATCATTCTGGAAAGCCAAACACTTCTTAGTACACTCACATCCCCACTCTCCTTTCAGGTCTTGATACCATAAAATGTAAAGATTGATAGTAGGCAGATGGTTGAATGGATGAATAGATATCCTTGAAAAGTAGGGATCAGAGAATAAAGATTTTAATGAATATATACTTCTAATTCTCCATAAACTTTAATTATAGATGTAAGCTTATTCACCCCTATTTTGGGTTGACAGCCTTCACCCTGGGTCATCCACAAGCCATGCCTAGATGCCAGTCCCGGTCACATGTGGGTACTAGTGTATAATCACAAGATGCCAGCTACATAATGTATTGTCCCTGCTATAAGATGCTTTCCCTGGCTACATGACAGCTGTAAGATGTATTGACTTTGCCATGGATCAAATACAGAATGTATTGTCTCTGTGACAAGAAGTTTTCCTTGGCTGCAACCCAGCTACAGAATGTCCTGACCTGGCTGATATCTCCAGCATCCAGCTGTGACTACAAAGATTTCTTGCCCCAGACCCTTCTTCTGCCTTCAGACTCCTGATACTATATCTACTTCTATGGCTGCAAGAGCTACTCTTTATCCCGTGAGAGATAGCCATTGAAATCTTCTTTCTTCTATGCGACTGTGTGTCCAAGTGGTTTTCTGGGTCGGCATTTACAATTGTTAATTATAATATTTATAATGTTTCATTTAGAGGCTTTCCACTCCTCTATTCAGACTTCTAGCAAAGGTAGTCTATGTTAAATAAGGAATTCTTAGTAACTAGGCTTTTTAATAGCAATAAATTCCATTTATATAAATCAAATACCAATTAAATAAAAAAGATAAAATATCCCCTTGAAACTCCTCCACTCCTCAAGGATCTCTGTTTGATGAATCAATGTTTAGTAAACTTGATGGATTGGGCTGGGGTGGGATATGTAGTATGTCAGACTGTTCTCATTTTCAAGCAGATTACAGTTTTAATGCTTTGTAACTTTTATGGACAGATGCATATCTTCAATTACTTTATACAGTCACTTCTTTTCAGCATATCTCTCCTGATTAAAGAAATAAAAAAATATGTATTTGTTAGGTGTCATTTTACCATCAGAATTAATATTTCCTATATAAAGAGGGATCTTTTATATATGCTTGAGTAATGGTCTATATTAGGAATCTTTGCTCCAGTGTTACTTGTTACTATTAATTTTCACAGATAATAGCTCAACTTGTGCTTAGTCAAGGGATATCTCTGTATAACATGATTTCAGTTTTAAATCTTTCCACTCTTCTTGGGTGGAACTTATGTAGTTCAAGAGTGCATATTCTCTCCCCTTCATTTTGACTTGAAAAGATTCATATTTTGGCTGTTTAATTTTCATTTAAAGTCAGTGAAAAGGAAAACATAATTGCTACCAGTTGCTAAGTGGGAAGTAAATGGTCATTACTGGTTATAGAGATTCACATGAAATATCCCAATTCCTTTTAAAATAACTCCTAATGATGTGCTATTAATTACTGCTAGGCTACCCAATCAATTGAACCACTTTGATAACTTAGTTCTCTATTCTTGTTGTTACAGACATATGTATGCTTTACTTACCCTAATAATATCTTGATGTCTGTTGTTGTAAGTAGAGAACATGAAGAATGGGAGAAAAGAAGGTGCCATATTACAAATCTGATGGTTAACAAAGCCTCCCAAGTTTGGTGACATTTTAGTCAAGCCACCAAGGAAAATCTTAAGAAACATGGCAAGGTGGGAAGAATTTTATTTATTGTATGATAGCTATTAATTATTCCATTTCAGACACCAAATATGTGACTAGCTCTGCTTATTCATTTCTGCCTTCCTCCCCCCCCACCCCGACTTTTCTCTCCCACATTCTACTAAAGGCTTCTTTTTTCATCTATAAACTCTTTTCCTCCTATTATTGTTGGTTTACTTTCCATTCCTTTTCTGAGTCCTTAATTTGTTACTCTTCTCACACCTCTTTCCTGAAATGTAGTCATATTTTGGCTGGGAGATTTATGAGATATTATATTTATAAACTATCTTGAAATTGCCAAATTTTAAAATAGAAATAATAAAATGGAAAATATCTCTACAATTCTTGTTGCCTGTCAATGTGGCAAATTTCATAGTTTATGGCGAGGATGTGGGGGAACCACACAAGTGTTGCTGCTCATATAAAGAAAAGAAGCTCTTCATTCTCCTGCCCCCTCCCATTCTTTTCTTTCAGCCAGGATTTAGTGAAGGTAAATCAGAGAATACTCTTGTGACTGTTCATTTGAACAAAATAACCTCCTCTCCCAAACAATTCTCCAATGAGATATCCCCTTGGAATTTCTAGAAGCACAGTGGATCTAAATATCTACAATAATATGAGATAATAAAAAATACAAATAGCTGTGTCACTTAGTTATGTTTAATGATATGCAAATAACAATTGAAAAAAATGTTCTTAACACTATGGGTATAGCAAAGGATTAAACTTATCTAAAGAGTGATTGTCCTTGGGTAGGAGCTCATCTCTAGGCTGGAATTACTGCCAGAAGTTTGTTGTTGTTGTTGTGTTGCTTGTTTTTAAACCTGGGGTGGGGGGACCAGGCTTACTACAGTTCATTGAACAATGTGATTTGCAGTGGGAGCTTTGGGGCCATGCCATATTTGTAATACCTCTGGACAAACAGGAGACTAAAGACCAGTCATGAATGCAGTCATTTCTGTGGTCCAGGGTAAGTTTTCCTGGTTGTGAATAATCTGGGTGCATGTTGTTTTATGTCTTTGACAGAGATGTGTTTGAAACGTTGATGCATTCTTTTATTTCTTTACTTGGCCGATTTTAATATATGTCCTGTGAAACTGTAATTTTGTGTATCATAGTTTTGTGAGTTTATTTCCTAGCTGAGAGTGTTTTGGGAGACTTGAAAACTTCATTTGATGTCAAATATTACTAGTTTGTCTATTACTCAAAAATGAGATGAGTATTTTCATCAATTTAATGTGGTTGACAGTTTCTATAAGACCCCAAGCCCATTCAATTGCTTATAGATTTCTAAACTGAGAGACGCATTTTAGGTGTAGTAACAAGATAATGAAAGCAATTAGTTCTAATCCTCTGACTGAAAGTACCTTTTCTCTCTTTTTATCCCTAGTATTAACTCTAGTGCCTAGTCTCAAGACTTTCAATGACAATTTCTTGAATAAACTCAATTATAAGCAAACATGCTGTGAACAATTAAGAGTACAATTTATCAAGGAATTTGGACACAGTTCAAGTCTCTTTATTCTTCATGACTAAATTCTATTTTCTTCTACTTTTACTTTGCTCTGTTTTCTTATATTTTTAGAATTTTTCACTTCATTTAAATTATTCTAGTCATATTTCTATTTGGGAAATAACTCTCCGCTAGAACTTTCCATATCAGACAGCACTCCCCCCATTCCAATCCAGCTTCATCCATCTCGTGGTTTTATTGGGGGCTTCTGAACGAGTGTTTCTTATATGCTCAGCTATTCCTTCCCTGTCTCCATCAGTCTTTATTCCTATATTGAGCTCTATTTAGGCCGTACCCTATCCCTCAAAGTCACCTATTCAGGAAAGCAAGCGCACTGTATCTCACCGTAGACTCATATGGTCTTAACCCTATACCACAAAGCTACTTAGCTAAACAAAAAAGGGAGACAATGCTGAGGTCAGAATACACTTTTGTGCCTAGGAAAAGTAATTATCACCCCGTGGACTAATTCATGATCAGCGTGAAGAACTACATATGAAGACAGAACGACGTTTACTCACTTTATAGAACTAGCACTGTGGCGTGTGCAGTGTCTGGTAGGCACATTATTTCCTATACAACACAGAACTAAAACTGGCTGCGAACTACAAAGGGCGCAGTGGCGCATGCTCCTTAGTCCCGTCACTTGGGAGGGCGGCAAGATCGAGTTCCGGGTCAGCCAGACTATGACAAAAAGATGGGCAGTGTAGTTTCTAGTTCAGTACATAAACTTAAGAGAGAACTTGGGAATGGCAGAATTACAACTCATTTGTGGAAATCATGCATGGCTCTTAAAAGAGCCTTTGGGGTTAAGTGGTAAAACGCTTACTTGGCAGGTTTATTTGGAGCTGGTGTACTTGGTAACGGCCTTGGTGCCCTCGGACACGGCGTGCTTGGCCAGCTCCCCGGGCAGCAGCAGGCGCACGGCCGTCTGGATCTCCCGAGACGTGATGGTCGAGCGCTTGTTGTAGTGCGCCAGGCGCGACGCCTCGCCCGCGATGCGCTCGAAGATGTCATTCACGAACGAGTTCATGATGCCCATGGCCTTGGACGAGATGCCGGTGTCCGGGTGGACTTGCTTCAGCACCTTGTACACGTACACCGAGTAGCTCTCCTTGCGGCTGCGCTTGCGCTTCTTGCCGTCCTTCTTCTGCGCCTTGGTCACCGCCTTCTTGGAACCCTTCTTTGGGGCCGGGGCGGACTTCGCAGGTTCTGGCATTATAGTACAAATGGCACTATAGTACAAAAAGGCAGGGAGAAAAACAAAAGTAACGCAAACGGAAGCGTTGTCCTCCTTCCCGGTAATTTATAGGGCCGGTATTCAAATGAGGTTGGTAGGACTTCCTCCTCGATTGGATTACTTTACTGTGTCGTCACAAATGAGAATGTAAACGACACTTTGTCTACTCTTTCATTGGCTCTTTTTGTTGCAGGATTCACCCAATTGGAAAGCCTAAACGAGACTACTGAAAGCAGTTCTGAAAATAACTTTAAGTGCTTTCAGTCTGCAAGTTCTATGTTGAACTATTTTAAAGTTATGTCCTGGTACAAGGAACGGCGCCTAAAATAGCTAATTCCCGTCCACCCTTTCAACGAATATCCTCAGCTCTACAGTATGTTGGGCTATTACAAACATTTGAAATTCAAAATTTCCACAAACCAAACACCAAGTCATAATAGTATTTATTTGGTTACGTTATGCATACTTTGAGCTCAAAGTTTGCATGTGCGAACTGCTAACAAGTACGAGCCTTCAGAACTGGCTACCTAGAGCACTCCTGGGTTTACTGAACACTGAACATCAATGAACGTTTCCGGGTAATATCCCTAAGCCGGCGCCTCCCAGATAATCCCGCCCCCCACCCCTAGCAACACCCACTGAGTGTGCAACAGCTCTTTTTGCTGAGATCGGTGGGTGGCTCTGAAAAGAGCCTTTGGGTTGTGTTGTGCAAAGCAGTTGGCCAAAGGAACTTTATTTCTTCTTGGCTGCCGCCTTCTTTGGCTTGGCTGCCTTGGGCTTAGCGGCCTTTGGTTTGGCCGCCTTAGGCTTCACAGCCTTCGCCTTGGCTGGGCTCTTGGGCGCCTTCTTCGGCTTAGCTGCTTTCGCCTTCTTCGGGCTTTTCGCCTTTTTAGCTCCTGCAGCTGCCGCTGGCTTCTTTGCCTTCTTTGGGGTCTTCTTGGCGCTCTTCTTAGGGGTGGCAGCCCCCGTAGCCTTCTTGGGCTTCTTTGCAGCGCCGGCAGTCTTCTTGGCCTTAGCCGTACCTGCCTTTTTCGCTCTAGGCTTGGTTTCCCCGGAGGCCGCCTTTTTGTTGAGTTTGAAAGAGCCCGAAGCGCCGGTGCCCTTGGTCTGCACCAGGGTGCCCTTGCTCACCAGGCTCTTGAGACCCAGCTTGATGCGGCTGTTGTTCTTCTCCACATCATAGCCCGCAGCTGCCAGTGCCTTCTTGAGCGCGGCCAAAGACACTCCGCTGCGCTCCTTGGAAGCAGCAACTGCCTTGGTGATGAGCTCGGACACTGGGGGCCCGGACGCCTTGCGCTTCGCAGAACCTGCAGACTTGCGGGCCTTCTTCTTCACAGGCGTCTTCTCGGCGGGGGCCGGAGTAGCCGGGGCGGCAGGCGCAGTCTCGGACATGTTGACGCGGGCTTGTAGAGAGCAACTCGAGCCGGAAGCAGAGGCACTGGCCAGAACTCGGGCAGTGGCGCTGCGCCCTCCCGTTTATATAGGGCGGAGCTGCTCCGTGATTGGTGCGCTGTCCAGCCCGCCTCGCTGGCAGACACAGAGTGTCCTCTCCGATCCCGAGTTGTGTTTGTTACACCTCAAAAAAAGCCAAAAATATCAAAATTCTCTACACAGAATTGCGGGATTTTTCATGGATAATGATCCCCGAAGTCTCAGGCTTCATGCACATCTCAAATAATGGGGAAAGGATCAAACCTTGTGCCAAAAACTAGCAATATTTCCCGCCCTGCTCTGCAAATTTCAACTCAGAGAAACAAAACTTTCTATTTTCTTCGTAAATTATAAACTGATCTTTAACTCTGGAGTTTTTTGACCTATCAAATATCATTCTCCAAGTTGTTAGCTTCTTATATATCCAAGATCCATGCCACTGGCAGTAAGATTTTTATTACAAATCTGCACTTAAGTGAAGGAAGTAACACAGGCTCCTCGGAGAGTCCTGCCTATTGAGCCGAGGGCATTTGAGTTCATCAAACTGGTTTAGTTTAATGAAAAACAAATAACTGCCCGTTTGGGGTTAAATTTTGGACCCCTAGGACATCAATCTAAGCAACAATCCATTTATTTCGGTCTGATGTACCTAAGTTTTAAAATAATTCCTTGTGATAATTCCATTCCTTTCTGCTCCCAAGGGTTGGGGGCGGGGCTGTTGCTTCTCTCTTGCTCTGGACAACTACTCCATAGGTTGGGATACCTTGAATTTAGAATATTAGGGAAATAAGGGAATCCAAAACATAGCCCGGACACACACATGAAAAAAGATAAATTTTAAGTAATACGTAAATAATGCTCATAAAGTCATTGGAAGTAAAAGTGCACTTCACTTTGGAGAATTTGTCAGCAGCTTTGCTAAATTCTTTTGTCATATGTTTCGGGATTACATTGTAATATGATATCTACAAATGAAGCATAAGCATTGAACATAGAGTAGAAAGGAATGAGAAATGTAGGTTGGAAACTTAGTATTCCCATTGCTTGAGAAACACAGACCCCAATATTATTGAGTATCTGATGACATCTACCCACCATATATGGTTTCAGTCCTTATGATGATTATAGTCTATGTTTTCAGGAGCTCCTTAAAAATAAATGACATATAGGGACTGAATGACAAGTATGAATTTTATTCTCAGATATAGATCTTGGAAAAGTTATCCTGGCTAAGTAATTGCCTTCTGAAAACTTCCTTTGCCACGTGTTGAAATAACGATAGTTATTCAACTATTGAAAAAGATAAGTTGATAATGGAAGTCCAATGTAAGGGAGTATTTCTGGGAAACTGTGACTGGAATTTTTAAAACTGTAACCCACTCACTAGAGACCCAAGGAATTATATTGCTTACTACTACAAGTCTATTTGGCATACTTTTCTGGATATGATGATGACATATCATTGTACGTCAGTTTAATTATTAGCTCTTTTGCTCCAAGTAGTCATGTGCATAATATAAAACAGCAGAAATTTGGAACAAAACCAACACAGAATGTAAATGCAATATTAATGAGGTGTTTTAAACATTGCAGCCTTGTTAAATTTGACATAAAATGATACAAATTATCAGTATTAGTATTTCTTAAATCTTAGTATGTAGTTTCAGTGTAGTGTGTGCTAGTAAAAGGCAAATGTACACATACATATTAATAAAAAATACATAAAGCCTCAAAAGAGTACACAGAAACTGACTTTGTGGGCATTTAAAGAAAAGCAAAAATATACCTTAAAATGAAGTTTTCGAAACATATTGGATCTCAAATGCCTCTGTTTGTTTGTTTTGTTGGTTGCCGGGCTTGAAATCACAGCCTGGGTACTGTTCTTGAGCCTCTTTGTGCAAGGCAAGCACTCTCCCACTGAGCCACCTTTCCAGCCCCCAAATGTCTTATTTTTAAACTCTTTGGTTTATTTATTTATGTCGGTCGTGGGCCTTGAACTCTGGGCCTGAGCGCTGTCCCTTAGCTCTTCAGCTCAAGGCAAGTGCTCTACCACTTGAACTACAGCGCCACTTCCGGTTTTCTGGGTTTATTGGAGATAAGAGTCTCATGGACTTTCCTGCCCTGCCCGGGCTGGCTTTGAACCTCGATCCTCAGATCTCAGCCTCCTGAGTAGCTAGGATTACAGGCGTGAGCCACTGGCACCCGGCTACACTCTTTGTTTTATACTTGATGTAGCTTTCAAAATTCTGTGATCATTCAGTTCGTTTCTGATGAATAAAAGTTTTTGACTATGAAGACATTGAAGACTGATTTGATTAAGTTAAAAAATACTTTCCTTTAGTGAAATAAGAACAATGCCAAAAGTTTCACCTATTTATTGGTGTGCTGTTGAGGCTAGGTCAAAATTACATTTGTATAGGCACATTTTTATTCATATGTTTTAAATATTAATTTGAAGGCTAGGCTTCGGATGAGTTTGGATCTAAAAGATTTTCTCTACATTTCTGAGTTTGCCTGTGCGACTTCAGAGTAGCTGTCTAGGGTAGATATGACCACAGGTTGGGAAGACAAGGCAGCAGCAACTGAATCCTGTTCATATATGACTAGACACTATAATAGGCTCAAAAGGGGGAAGGATCCTCCAATTCAGGATCCTCCAATTCATTATTTTCCATTCAAAGTATTGGATTGAACCTCAACTACTGATGTGCAACTTGAATTCCCTAGGACAGCATTGCAATTTCTTACATCATTTGATCATGCTTAATAACAAGTATCTTTCAGGACTCCTGTTTGGGCTCCTCTACTGACAGAGAGCTTTACTGCTTTGATGGCTTTCTTTTTGAAAGAAATTTATTCTGTTTACTTTAAACATTAAAAAGATAATTTTTCTTTATTTAGGAGACAGGGTTTTGCTATGATGTGTCCCAGGTTAAATTCATGGTCCTCTTACCTTAGCCTCTTGAATGCTGCAATTTTAGGCATGAGCCACTATTCCCAGAGCCTTCCATTTATTGAAGACTGTACTGTGTGCTACATGAAAGGTCTTCCTTAACCAATTCAAAACTCTTCTGCTAGTGTTCCCCTTTCAAACAGAAGAAGAGCTTGAAAAAGCTAAGGAAATCTGAGCAGAATGTTGGTAAACGGTTCATGCCAGATTACAGCTCATAGCAGTTTGATTTCAGAGCATGTGATGTTATTTACCAGTGTTTCCTACAACATTGCAGGTCTTGAAAAGCATTAAAATGAATGTCATAGTTTGAGGCCAAAGGGTTTCTTTACAAAAATTAAAATACTACAATACAATGTGTGTACATTATTTTGTAGACAGATGTGCCCCACCCTTCCCTACCTCTCTTTTCATGTAAAGGACATTTCTTCCTGTGTGGTCTCATATGTCCACAGTGGCTGGAACAATGGATTCAATTCACTGCTTTCACAGTCACTAAATATTCTCAAGTGCATTGTTCTTTAATGTGTTAAAAATAAGTTTGTATTGCTGACATTTCTTTAAGCCTCTAAGGAACCCTGTGTGATAGAAATAGTGGACCCATTGATTATTTCCATTATGGAAATTATACCTGGCAAGTGTGCTACCAGTAATAAAATGATTTGTAGAAAGAGAAAGACAGGCTTCTGCTTGATTCATTTTACTACATAATCATTTGTTTCAAGTACTCAATTCTGGTTATTGCCATCTTAATATGATGTGACTATGATTGTTTTTTTTTTTTAAGGCAGAGTTTGGGAAAGACAAGTTTTAAACTAGACAAAGAGTGTCGTCTTAGATATGGTTTCTCTTTTAAGTCAACAACTAAAACTATAGGATGCATGTACAGGGTTATTCATTGTAACATGGTTTGGAATAGATTACTATAGTAGCATACAGTAATATAATAGAATACAATACTACAAACAATCTTAAAGCTTAAATGGGTAGTTGAAAAAATAAGGGAACAATCACAATGGAATAATACGCAGCTACAAAAATGATTAGGGAAGATCTTTATGGACTAATATGTACTTAAATTCAAAATAAGTACTTAAGTGACAAGATGAAACAGAAAAGATCCATAGTATGATTCCATTTGTGGGAGACAGAAGGGGCTATAAAAAGGCAAGTTTTACTAGCTTATGTAGAAAAGAAAAAGGAAAGATAAACTAAATCTAAAAGTATTTCTGATCTTTACAAGGTAAGGGACAAAGAGATGGAGAGGAGGGTGATGGGCAGACAGTAAGAGGATGAAGAGAGATTGATGCAGGGTTTTTTTTTTTTTGTTGTTGTTGTTATTGTTGGTCATGGAGCTTGAACACTGGGCTGGGTTCTGTCCCTCAGCTCTTCAGCTCAAGGCTAGCACCCTACCACTTGAGTCACAGCACCACTTCTGGCTTTTTCTGCTTATGTGGTGCTTGAGGAATTGAACCCAGGGCCTCATGCATGCAAGGCAAGCACTCTACCACTGAGCCAACTTCTCAGTCCTGATGCACTTCTTAGTATGTCTTTTCATATAAGACTAACTTACAACTGTAGTGATGCCTTACATACTGGCAAGACAAACTATTGAATGAAGAAAATATTAAAACCAACAGCAATGGGAGAATCCAAAATAGAATAAAAGTAGTGCCAATGAACCAATCTGTGCTCAATTAATAATATAAGAACACCAAAAGGATTGAGTAAAAGGGACATAACCGTGGAGAACAATATTGTCCTGTAAAACTGAGGACTAAAATGATACTGTAATCTAGTAAAAATGTTCTTTCAGGGATGTGACTTATTGGCTCTGAAACTATGCACACACCTGCATTGAACAAAGACGTTCAATTATCTATATCATAAATAATGGGATCCAGTGTTTTCATTGGAGCAAGATGTATTTGCCTAAAATAAAGCTCATATGCTGCATTAGAATCAGGGATATTTAAAAACATCCCCAATTATATAGAGCATAGGTTTGTGTGTATTTAGGTGCATGGGTCAGTATATGTGTATACCACAAGTATCTTCTTGTCCTGT